ACCATCCGCAACCAAAGTACCTTGGGTCCTTCGGACCCTTAGGGTAAACCCCACTTAATAATAGAAAAGAACTTTACAGAACCCTTGAAGGTGATTTAAGGGAGCCCTTCCAGGGAACCCTTAGAGGAGCCTTTAATGGAGCCTTTGGGCAAGGCCCCTGCGTGGGGGCTTACCCTAAACCCTGAACCCGGAACCCTAAACCCTAAACCCTTAAACCCTAAGCCCTAAACCCTACACCCTAAGTCCTAAACCCTAAACCCTAAGCCCTAAACCCTAAACCCTAAACCCTAACTTTTGGGCTTTTCAGCCCTCCGCTCGGGTGTGACGGGATGGTTAGGGCTTACAGGGTGTCAGTAGGTTCCGGGTTTTAGGGTTTAGGGTTTTTAGCGGTTTAGGGTTTGTAGGGCGTCTTTTGGGTTTTAGTGCTTCGGGTTTAAGGTTTGTAGGGTTTTTAGGGTTTTTAGGGTGTTTAGGGTGTTTAGGGTTTAGGGTTTCAGGAGGTTCCGGGTTTATGGTTTAGGGCTTAGGGTTGAAGGTTTTTAGAGCTTTTAGGGGCTTTTGGGGCTTAGGGTTTAGGGTTTCAATAGGATCCGGGTTTGTGGTTTGGGGCTTCGGGTTGATAAAGTTCCCGGGGTTCACCAGGACCCCCCAAGGGCCCTTCAATAGACCCTTATGGCCCTTAATAGTGAGTATTGGGTATGTTAGAGGGTAGTTGGGGGGTCCAGGTTTACCCTAAACTCTAAACCAGGCCCTAAGCCCTCAACCCTAAACCGGCTTCGGGTTGACACAACTCTCGGGGTTTAGTGCTTTTGCGGTTCGGGTTTAGCTCGACTCAACAGTTCCGCTCGGGGGATTCCGAGTTGTCGCCGTGTCAGGCCTTGCAGCTCGCTGTATGGCCACGTCAGGCCAGACATGCTCGGGTTCTAGGGTTTAGGGTTTAGGGTAGTTGAGGGTTTAGGGATTCAGGGTTCAGCATTTAGGGGTTCTAGGGATGTAACCTGAGCTCTAAACCCTAAACCCTAAACCCTAAACCCTAAGCCCTAAACCCTATGCTGCCAGGGTTCTGGGACTTGGGAATGGGCCCCAGGCCCCGAAGCAGCCATCCCTGAGCTGTGAAGACTCTCTTCAGCTTAAGCACTGCAACTTTGAACTCGGCCCTAAGCATTAGGAACCCCAAAAGGACATAATCATAAGCGCTGTAAACTTATATCCCTACCTTATGGGGCTTCATGATAAGGTTTTTATATGGGATATCCCTATCCTATTTTTTGCTTATGTGCTTTTTTGGGGCCCTAAGCCCTCAACACTAAACCCAACTCTTGATGCCTGCAAGAGTTGGAAAATCGGTTGCAACCTGGCAAAACTCTACCCATAGGCTCCATAGTGGTTCCTTTTAGGGGGTTACCTTATTCTAGGATCCTAAATATAAGCCACAAACAGGACTTATAATGGAGCCCTAAACCCTAAACCCTAAACCTTAAACCCTGAGCCTGAGGGTAAGCACCATCACCAGCAGACGGCTCCGGAATCCTGAGCTGAGCCTCCAGCCCTGGGACTGCGAATTCCTCAACATGCCTTATCACCCAGGGTTTAGGGTTTACGGTTTAGGGTGTAGGGTTTAGGGTTTAAGGTTTAAGGTTTAGGGTGTAGGGTTTAGGGTTTAAGGTTTAGGGTGTGGGGTTTAGGGTTTAAGGTTTAGGGTGCACGGTTTAGGGTTTAGGGAGGAAGACAAATGGGGTAGTCCCCAATATAGCTTGACACACTTCTGAAAAGGACCCCGAAAGGGACCCTAGTTTAGCGAACTACTCAAATCAGGAACACCATGACAGTAACAGCAATCGTTGGTGCTAGGACAGTCCAGCACATGTTTTTGTTGCACGCATCTCAAACATCAGAAGCCTGCTACGACCTTAAACCCTAAACTCTAAACCCTAAGCCCCTGCCAGGGATCTGCAATTCTTGAAAGCTTCAAACCTGAGACCCTCAAGCCGGACGCCCCTGGCCTGTTAATTCTGATTCAGGTGGACTTGCAAAAGTCGACAGGCAAAGGTGGCAAACAGGGCCGAGGCCGTGGCAGAGGAAGCGGCAAAGGCAACCCACAGGGCTCCTCTCCTTCGAGCCAAAGCCAAGACAGTGGTGGCCGTCAAAGAGATCCTTTGGTCAGTGCTTTGGCCAAGCTTGTCATCAGACATGACGAGCAACTGCTAGCTCTCTCTTGCGACATAACGTTTATCTCCTACATGAAAACAGATGAGCATTCGATCCTCCCCCTACTACACGCTGAAAAGAAAAGGATTCAGACCAGTATGTCCTCTATCGCTCCCAAGACAGCCTTGACACTCAAGCTGTTCCGAGAGCTGAAAGACAGACTGATCGCAGTGAGCAAAGACAGGGAAATGCAAGCCTCCCCAGTATGTTATGATATATTGATACTATTTTAAGAAGCCCAGGGACTAGTATAAGCAATTTTGCTCGCGCCCTTTTGCAATGGAGTTTCTCCTGCTCCGCAGCAGATTTCAGTTTCCAGAGTTTACCTGCTTTGCTTGGATTTGGTATGCAGCTTTGGGCAACCTTATTCCCTAAACCCTAAATCCTAAACTCTCTACGAGCTTCAAATCCTGAAACCACACATCAACAGTTGTCCTCCAACGCCTAAAAAGTTCCACGGACTGCTGATGAAGGGTTGTGGGACGTTTTTTAGGTGCTTAGGGTTTAGGGGTTTAGGCGTTTAGGGTGTTTGTTATGTTTCCTTGTGCTTAGTAACCCGCGCTTGTGTTTGGGTTTAGGGGTTTGGGGGTTTAGGAGTTCAGGGGTTTAGGGTTTCTTATGTTTCCTCCTTTGAGATACTGAGCAACTCCGTGCGAAGATGCCTCGCAGGTTTCGGCCCGCGCATGTCAAGGGCCGTCACTGCTTCTGTTGTGTGTGGAGCTCGACCGTCGGGGCGAGGGTTCAGGGGCATACTAGCGGTTTCGGGTTCAGGAGTTTATCTCGGATTTAGGGTTTATAGGGTATAGGGTTATGAAAACACCCTAAATCCCAAACTTCAAACCCAAGGCGGGGCGGAACCCGGTCCCTTCTCTCACTTTGCAGGATCAAAACGCCGAGCCATTCTAAACCGACCGGGTTTAGGCTTTCATCGGCTTAGTCTAGGGCTTGTGGCTTAGGGTTTAGGGTTGAGCGCATAGGGCCGGGTTTAGGGTTTAGAGTACACCTGGACCCCCCAACTACCCTCTAATATACCCTAAATACCCACTATTAAGGGCCATAAGTGCTCCATTAAAGGGCCCTTGGGGTCCGGGAGGGGTTTAGGGTTAGGGTTTAGGGTTTAGGGTTTAGGGTATTGGGGCCGAAGTAGATGCTGCAAAATAGCTGTTCCTATTATTCTTCATCAAACCCTAAACTAAACCCTAAGCCCGAAGTAGATGCTGTAAGATTACTGTTCCTATTATTCTTCTCATCTTAGCATTATTCTTCTCTTCATATCCCGGCCATCCACCTACGCGTTCTAGAGCAAGTGCTAGGCCCTGGTTTCATCCGTTTGGGGTGTTTGTAATCATACATACCGTCATCAATAGGCTGAACTTTCTGAGATATATATATATATAACGAACTACTACCCTTTCTTTGGTAAGGGAACTCCGCGACTGGGAATTACTGCACTTGTGGTTGTTGGTGTGCTCACTAAAACGCAAGCTGTTCTCGACAGGAGAACTTAGGGAGGCGAAAAAAAGAGATTCGTTGCGAAATGCTTGTGCTGTGCCCATGTGATCAGTTGAAGCATGCTTGCAAGCAGGCAGCCGTTGCAACAGGATCGGAAACCTACCCGAAATTGACCCCTGAACCCTAAATACACTCTAAACCATTATAAGCCTTAGACCCCAAACTTCAAGCCCTAAACCTCGATCCCAACGCCCGGAACCTCTGAGAGCTCATAGCCCTGACTGTAACTACCTGAGCACTTACGGCCCAACAAACCAGGACCCCGCAAGTACCCTGTAGTAGAGTCTTTATGGTCCTTAATCGTGGGTGTTTACCCTAAAACTTAAACCCGTCTAGGGTTTAGGGTTTAGGGAACCCTAAACCCTAAGATCCTAAAGCCCTAAACCCTAAACCGGTCCAGGAGAACCCTTGGCCTTTCAATTCGCCCCAGGCCTCACGCCCCTTTCCACACAACGCTCCAGGCCGTGCAGTGCAGGGGTTCACCTATCAAAGGGCTCCAAGGGTGAGAGGAAGGTGGGTGGAGTAATCCTAGGGTTGAGGGTTTAGGGTTTAAGGTTTAGGGTTTAGGGTTTAGGGCCCTTTATATAAGGGATCCTTGATACTATGCTTGGGTTTAGGACTTAGGGTTTGGGTTCACGCAGCTGGGGTAATCCTAAAGTATGAGTCCTTTATATAAGGGATCCTTAATCCTGCCTACCTTCGTCTGCCTCCAAACCTAAGGGCGGGTCTTGCACCGAAATACATTTGGGGCCTTTGCACAACGGTATGAGCCAAAGGGCTACTGCACTCAAAAGCCTAAACACGAATAAACCCTAAACCGCATAAGCCCTAAACCCCACTACCCTAAACCTCATGAACCACGACTTATCTATAATCAACCAACCCCTGGGGCTCCAAATGGCCCAATGTAGGTACTATTTACAGACTTTAGAACCCAAAGTAGGTACTATTTGATCACTTGGAGCCTTAGGGAACCGTAAATCTTAAAGGACGAGCGGCCAGCCCATTGAGGCCTTCAGAGTCAGTTGCAAAATGTCGCGTCGCTTCATTCGGATTGCTTTTGGCTCGGCCACGGCAAGGTGAGGTACGGTTAAGGATTAATGGTGAGCCCTAAGGGTCCAAGTAGTCCTAATTTATGGGTTTTAGGTACCCAAAAAGGCCCCAAAGTCCTTAAATAATGGGTACTTGGACCCTTAGGGGAGGGCTCAAGGTTTAGGGTTAAGTGTTAGGGTTTAGGGTTTAGGGCCGAAGGGTGCCCAATCGAGGTGACCTGGGACGCCATGGCTATGGAGATCGGTACGCGTGTTGAAGCGCATTCGCTCGTCAATGCGAAGCAGTTGAATGGACTTGTGGGCAAAGTTTGTGCTTTAGACGGGGATCGTGTAGGTGTTGATTTCGGTGCACCGCAAGGCGCCAAGGCACTGAAGCCTACGAACCTGCTAGTCCTGCCGGCGCAGAAGCTGCCAGTAACAGTCCTTAGCGGATTTCTGGGGGCTGGAAAGACCACAATGCTCACGCACATTCTGACGAATCGCGAAGGTCTTCGTGTTGCCGTACTGGTGAATGACATGGCATCCATCAACGTAGACGAAGAGTTGTTGAAGCAGGGAGTGCAGTTCCTTAGTGGCTGAGTAGGTAACCCTTAACCTTTTGGGTTCTTATAACTTAGGGTTTAGGGTTTAGGGTGGAGTGCAGTTCCTTAGTGGTTGAGTAGGTAACCCTTAACCTTTTGGGGTTTATATAGTCCTACCATAGTTGAAAAGGTTAACCTTTTGGGGTTTCTATAATCCTACCATAATTGAAAAAAACCCTAAACCCTAAACCCTAAACCCTAAACCCTTTTGGGCTAGGGTACTCAGCCCTAAGGTTCAGCGAAAGCAAAGACAAGATGGTCGAGTTGCACAATGGTTGCATTTGCTGCACGCTCCGGGATGACTTGATCAAGAATGTCCGTGACCTGGCGTTGGAGAACCGCTTCGACTACTTGATCATTGAAACTGGGTTTTTGTCAAGTTAGCGCAGTTGATTATATTCTGTTGCCTTAATAAGGAAGCTCTATTTTAGTATGTACTCTAGATCCTTCTTAGTATAGTAACTTAAACTACCTTAAGAACCCAAAACCCACTTTTTTGTAGGTTCTTATTATAAACCCTAATATGGGATTTATGGGGACCCTACAAAAAAGTAGGTTTGGGGTTCTGAAGGTAGGTTCCTTGACGAGAACCTGGAAAGAACGAGAACCCAGGAAAGCACAGGGATCTCCGAGCCGCTGCCGGTGGCAACGACGTTCGTTGCCAAGGACGAGTCGGGAAAACCGCTTCTCGGAGAGCTTGCTGCTTTGTCATAGTTGGGTAGCATTTTAGATTTTTAAGGGTACTTAAACCCAAGAAGGAATATAGATTTAGATTGTTAATACTACCCCAACCATGAACAAGGCTACACTGGATACATGCGCCACGGTCATCGATTGCGCGAATTTCCTCGCAGACTACCAAAGCCTCGAGAAGGCAGTGGACAGAAAGGAGCTCGGAGCGGAAAAAGGCGATGAAAGAACCATTGTCGATTTGCTGATTGATCAAGCAGAATTTGCAAATGTCTTGGTCCTCAACAAAACCGACCTTGTATCCACTGAGCAACTCGGGGATCTCAAGCAACTACTGGTGAAGCTGAACCCCGGCGCACGCATCATCGAGAGCCAGCACGGAGCCGTGGATCTTGAGTTCCTTCTAAACACCAAGACCTTCGATCTGGACTCTGCAAGCATGCACCCAGGCTGGCAGACTGAGTTGAGCGGAGTCCCACACACACCGGAGACGGAAGAGTACGGAATCTCGAGTTTCTTAGTTCTCCAATACCCAACCTTTTAACTTTTTTTGGTTCTTATAACTTATAGCTTGGTAGTAACCTGAAGGTTTAACCTGTTTTGGTTCTTATAACTTGGTAGAAATCTGAAAGTTGAACCTTTTGTTTCCCTGGTTTCTTGGAGAAGTAAGGTTTCGTGTATCGCAGTGACCGGCCCTTCCATCCAGATCGCTTAGAGGAGCTGCTGAGACGTGCAAACCCGCTTCCGGGACTGCTTCGCTCTAAAGGCGAACCTCGGGTTCCTGTCAGGGTTCCTTACCCTTATAGGGTTGTGGGTTTAGGGTTTTAGGGTTTTAGTGTTTTACGGTTTAGGGTTTTTGGGTTTTGGGGTTTAGGGTTTAGGGTTTTTTGGGTTTAGGGTTTAGGGTTGTTCCTTGAATCATGTAGGGGCCTGAATAGTTACCAATACTGTGTTGGGAGTTCCTTATTATGGTAAGAGTATACTATACAGCAAAACCCTATTCTAAGTACTACGGCCCCTAGGCTTAGCTCCTTCAGGGGATCTAGAAGTGTTCCAGGGTTTGGGGCGTGACCAAATACCAGCAGTCTACTTTGGGTTTCCTTAACCCTAAATGTCCATGTACCCCAATAGTATATACTTTGGTCTTAAAGTACTCCGTATATAGATACTTCGAGACCAATGTATATACTATTTGGGTACATGGACCCTCAGGGTAATGTAACTAAACTACAATCTGCCCCACCGAAACCCTTCCTAGGTATTGAGGCCCGAAAAACAAAAAGCCCTTCCATAAATCCCTTATCGGCCCAAACCCTAAACCCTAAACCCTAAACCCTAAACCCTAAACCCAAAACCCTAAACCCTTTTTAAGGACCCTGTTGGATTTAAGGAGCCCTTGCAAGGAACCCTATCCTGATCAGCTAGGCCCCTAAACCCTAAACCCTATACCCTAAACCCTAAACCCTATACCCTATACCCTAAACCCTAAACCCTAAACCCTAAACCCTAAACCGATACCTTAAAAGGCTACGCGTGGAGTGCCAGCGATCATCTCTTGGCGGTGGAATGGAGTCAGGCTGGTGCCTACACGACTTTGAGAGGAGCCTACAGGCCCGGAGACTCCAAAACCCCTTAATTAAGGAATATACCTTAAATTATAACAGGACCCCTAATATGATTTAGGGTACATTCTTTCATTAAGGGGTTTTGGAGTCTCTGGGGGTGAGGGTGAAGAAAGCAGGCAGGTTCTGTTCAGCTTCGGGGACGATCATTAGTGCTATATTTAGCTAGTGGTTATTCTTGCTAACATTTCGGGGACGCCTAGTATCACTACCGCCTACTACTACTACTACTACTACTCCTCCTGCAGCTGCTTGTGCTGTTGAGCGATAAGTGGTAAATCCAAGCAGACGAAAATCCAGTTTGGGAGTTTGGGGTTCAGGGACAGGGAGCGGGATTGTTCTGAAGCCCCCAGGTGGTTGTCACTTGGAATGTCTCGGCGGACGTGGTCAGAGCAGAATAAGGCCAAATATGGGGAGAGCCTTTACGGCGACCGGCGGCAAGAGCTGGTCTTCATCGGTGCCATCGATGAAGCCGCCATCCGCAAGCTGCTCGATGAGGCCTTGGTCACGGATGAAGAGTTTGCCTTAGGGCCGGAGGCATGGACCAGCTGCTAGGTTCCCTAGTAGTACCCTTTTTGCCCTTTTTCTTTGTGGGTTCCCTTATTACAACCAAATAGTAGGAAAAAGGAACCCTAAACCTAAAGCCTAAACCCTAAACCCTAATCCCTAAACCCTAATCCCTAAACCCTAAACCCTAAACCTAGGCTGGAAGAAGCTCATTACCGTGGAGGCCATGGGTCCTGAGGACCAGGGCCGAGAGGCAGAGTTCACCATCGGAGTTGTAAAGACGGAGGGTGACAGGCTCCTTAGTTCTCCTTAGTAGCTGAGTGAGTACACTTTACACTTTTGGGGATTATATGATCCCTTATAGATCTGAAAGTGTACACTTTTTGTGGCGTATGAACCCGGCAACTTAGTCCTCCAATACCCAAGCTTTTAAGTTGGGTTCTTATAACTTAGGGTTTAGGGTTTAGGGTTACCTTAGTCTTAGTCTTTGAGTAGGTAACCTTTAACCTTTTGGGGCTTATGTAGTCCTTCCATAATTGAAAAGGTTAACCTTTCTGGGCTAGGGTACTCAGCCCCTAAGTAGTTCTCCAATACCCCAGATTTTAGCTTGTTGGGTTCTTATAACTTGGTAGTAATCTGAAAGTTTAACCTGTTATTCCTTAAGTTCTGATAACCCAACCCCCCAAACCCCTAGACCAAAGCCCTACTTAAACTCAGTTCTCCAATACCCAAGCTTTTAACTTGTTGGGTTCTTATAACTTAGTAGTAATCCCCAAGCCCCAAACCCCTAAACCAAAGCCCTACTTAGTTCTCCAATACCCAACCTGCTCATTTGTTTGGTTCTCATAACTTAGTAACTTCGTAGTAATCTGACGCTATAACCTTTTACTTCCCTGGTCTATCGGGGAAGTGAGGCTCGGGGTGAGCATTGATGAAACAGAGGGGATGCGCGTGACCTACATCAGGCCGGGTGGGTTGATTTACAGATGGAGCCTTGGCGTTCTTCTGGTTGGCTCTTTAGACTTTAACTTTTTGGGTTTCTATATGAATTATAACAAGTTGGCTAAAAGTTTAACTTTTAGGAGGGGTTCAGAAGTCAGCCAAGGAACATGGAGCACTTTCGAAAGAATCCCGAGATGGTCATCCGAGCTGGCTACAACATCGTGGCTTTGTTCCCCAATACCCAACCTTTTAACTTTTTTGGTTCTCAAAACCTGGTAGTAATCTGAAAGTTTAACCTTTTGTTTCCTTGGCTTATTGGAGAAGTAAGGTGGCCATCAATGGCGTCACAGGCCTGAGAGAGAAGAAGCAGATGGTCAGCGCCTATAGGCACCTGAAAATGACGATCTCGCGACGCCTCCCGGGCGCGAAGGACCGACGCTTTCCTTAAAGCCTCTAGGTTCCTCAGTAGTATTTTTTCTTTTGGGGTTCCCTTAATAAAGCCAAAAAGCAGGAGATAGGGTACCTAAACCCTAAACACTAAAAACCTAAACCCTAAACCCTAAAAACCTAAACCCTACTGGGGAACCTAGGCCTCCAAGGGCGGTAGTCGAAGGAGCAATTCTGGGGGCATCTCGATCCGGGAGGCTCCACTTACCCAACTAATGGGGTACGAAGGGGGCCTGAATAGGTACCTATATTATTTTTGGGGGTTCCTGATTATAATTGTAGTAGAATATACGCAAACCCTATTCTAATTATGAAGGCCCCTCCCTATATTACTATTACTGAGTTGCACACTATCATATGGTTAGCAAGCTAGTACCTACAGGGTCATAGCCCTACATACCCCTTTCTTAGGGTACCTACCCCATTTCATATAACAGATCCGAACCATAGAACTAGGTACCTTACAAACTGCGGTAGGGCATGACCCTTTAAAAAACCCTAAACCCTAAACCCTAAACCCCTAAAGCCCCAAGTCTATTCAGGTCCCTGGAACCCCACGGAAGTGTTTAAGCAGCTTGCCGTGCAAGCCATTTTTGTCAATGTCCCTATTGCTTAGGAACCCACAAAGGACATAAGCATAGGCATTTTATAGGGATATCCCTACCTTATTGGGCTTCATTCTAAAGGGGTGTATATGGGATATCCCTATTCTAAGTTTTGCTTATGTGCTTTTTTGGGGGCCCTAATTGCTGCTTCTGTGCAGTGGAGGAGGGGCCACCTGTAATAGTTTCGTTGCTGTCGACTGTGACGTTCGATTGATGATATAGCTCCTGCATTACCCATAATAAAGAATATACCGTAATGCATCATAGTTCCCGTTGTTTAGGGTCCTTACAGGTCATGCAAGATTTATGTCATCAACCGTAGTTTCGTTTCCTTCGACAGCGACATTGTGCATGATGCTGGTGGCTTAAGCCCACCGGCATGCTGAGGGTGGTTTCAATCTTCTTGGCATTGCCGGAGCCATGGCTTCTTGAGTGTCGGCAAGAAAACGGTTCCAGGTAGAACATCCTTTTTTTGTAATCTAGGGCCCCAGACGATGTTCAGGATTCTTATAGTAGAGTATCCCCTCCCAAACCCCATTCTAATGCTTAAGGCCCCTATATAATTTATTGCAATCCTACAACTAGTCTAAACTGGACCCCGAGCCCCCACAGTCGATGCTCCAAAGACCCATTTAAGCTTGAGTGTTGGGGTTTAGGGTTTAGGGCCGTAGTGGCTACAACAACTAGGATCCTGAATAAGGCCCATTTGCATTGAAGTACAATCGTGTAGTGGTCATTGGGTGTTCATATGTCAAGCAACCGCAAGGTTCAAGGAAGTTCAAGGGTTCTGTGGGGGATTCATCAGGGCATTCCGAGCACCCAATAACCCTTAATTGAGGAGTATGAGGGTTTGCTGAGAAATTGGTTTCTATTGCTTTATTGAGAGCCTCTGCAGATTTTTCTCCTTGGTAGGAAGTGGAATACATTCCGGCACCCAGAACCGCAAACTACGCGTTTCTGCACTGTGAGGATGAAAAAATCCTATCCTAAGCTCCCCCCTAAACCCTGAACCTGAACCACCAGGATGTTTTCGATACAGTAGTCTAGTCTCTTCCTTCTTCGTAGTAGATTTTCCTTTTTCGTAGTATATTTTCATGGACCCCAAAGCATCCCACGACTTTGTTGAACTATTCGAGGGCCTACGCTCTTGCAGTAGAAGGATTTCGACTCGGGAGTATGGAGGGGGTATAGCTGCTCAAGACCCAGACCTCTATGTCTCCATATGTTTTGTTGTAGGTTGAGCACAAGAAATACTTGGAGGTTCATGGGTAGTTATACGTAGGGTTAGAAGTCCCTCAATATGGGCTATAACTATAGTTACCCTAATTATAACCCCACTTTATAACTACCCATGAACCTCCAAGTACCAGGCCATACCCTAAAATCCAAGATTGGCGTTGGGCCCCCCCCCCAACCCTAAACCCTAAACCCTAAACCCTAAACCCTAAACCCTAAACCCCCCTGAATCGGAGGTCCAGCGCCCCTGCGCTGCTCTACACAAGCCTGCGGCGCGAACGCCGGCCCTCGTCTAAGATTTTCCTAGCATACCGCGTAAGCAACTTAAACTATAGGTGGCTTATAAGTTTTATATATGGTTGTTTCCTGACTGAAAGGGGTCGTGGGCAGTTGGATAACGGCTTGAGCATCTAGTGGTAGTGAAGGCGATAACTCCCCATATATACTTGATACTAATACTTCTTTATCATTGACTACACCAAGAACTACTGCTGCACTTTTTACGGCCCGTGTATTACCCGGCAACAAGGCCAGAACCTTCTAGATCCTCATGAAGGAACCCGCTGATCAATAAATCTTTGATATGAAATCTGATTGGGAAGCACCCTAAACTCTAAACCCTTGAAACCCCAAGCCCTAAACCCTAAGCCCTAAAACCTAAACCCCTAAACCCTAAACCCTAAACCGTGTATGAAGCCCTAAATCCTAAACCCTAAGCCCCCACCCTAAACCCCGAGCCCTAAACCCCAAAACCTAAACCCTAAAACCTAAACCGTGTATGAAGCCCTAAACCCTAAACCCTAAACCCTAAACCCTAAACCCCCAACCCTAAGCCTCAAGCCGTACGCCCAAACCGAGGTCGCCAAGGGCCGGCGGAGCCCGGCACCCCCGCGACGTGGAGCACTGCTGGGTCAGGCACCGCTTTTCGGGTGGAGGCTTTGGGGTTTAGGCTTTACCTATAGGGCCTAACAAGGTTTAGTGTGGAGGCTTTGGGGTTTAGGCTTTAGGGCCTAATAGGGTTTAGGGTTGAGGCTTTAGGGTTTAGGGCTGAGGCTTTGGGGTTTAGGCTTTGGGGCCTAATCGGGTTTAGGGTGGAGGCTCTAGGGTTTAGGGTTGAGGGCCTAATGGGCTTTAGGGTTTGCGGTTTAGGGCCTGTAGGGTTGAGGCTTTAGGGATTTGGCGCTTGAGCGGGGAGGGATTCCGATTTCTGAGCCTGTCCTTGAAGGGTGCTTTACCCGATGAGGGTTGCTAGTGCTACCATCGTTGCATGGGGGTTTCGGGCTTAGGGACTAAACAGATTTACGATGATTTCAATTTAGTACTTGTGGCTGAGTGTTGAAGGTCCAGAGCTTAGGCTGTGGGCTTGACAGTGCTAGTGTTTAAAGGTCTGGGGTAGGGAATTGCGGGCGTGCTGGGCGCAGGGTGTAAAATTAGGTTGTTCTTTTATTCCTCCGCTGCAAGTGATATAGGGCTTCAGCTATTAACAGCCACATTTTTTGGAGAGGATGCAAGAAGGAGGCTTACATGTAAGCTTCAGTGTTCGGCTTCGCATGGCTTAGAGGTTTCGGGTTTCGGGCTTGGGGGGTTTGTGGTGTGAATGATCGTTTTGGTACTTGCAAGCACCTGCCGGGGGTCTTCTGAACCCTAAACCCTAAATCGGAGAAAGTCTCAATGCACTTTAAACAACCCTGAACCCTAAACCCTAAACCCCTAAACCATAAACCCTAAGTTAATAAGCAGAGGTCGTTTGATTATTCGGGCCTCCAGTTGTGTGAACTTTGGACTCGACCCAGAGGAACCCCTCAACCCCAAACCCTCATATAAGCGGTTCTTTGCAGGGGCTCCTTTAAGGGTTCCTTTAAGGGTAGTACAGGTTTCTATAACCTTAAGCGGTTCCTTCAAGGGGCTTGTTTGGAGGTCTACAAAACATCGCCAAACCTTGTGTGCGGAAAAGCTGGGCCCCCACAGCGTCCCTGACTGCTCCTTTAAGGGTTCCTTTTAAAGGTAGTACAGGGTTCTATAATAGGATCACCTCTAAGGGTAGTATACGGTTTTGTAGTAGGCTCCCCTTTACGGGCTCCTTTAACGGCTCCTTTAAGGGGAACCCTGTATGGTACCCTACAGTACCCCTTGTACCCCTTTTAGGGGCAGTATAGGGATACCATAGGGTTTCATCATAGGCTCCCCTTTTAAACCCTAAACCCTAAACCCTAAACCCTAAACCCTAAACCCTAAACCCCAAAACCCGAAACCCTAAACCCCTAAACCCTAAACCCCTAAACCCCAGGGCTCCTTTAAGGGAACCCCCTATGCCCAACAGCATGCAGGTCTGCAAGATGAAAGCACAACCTCCCGCTGAGGCGCTTTTGGGTTTAGAGGGTTTCGGGTTTCTAGGGTTTAGGGTT